CTTGGAGTATACTGACGAAAATGCCATAATCCGAGAAAGCTCCAAAACGTGCCAAGTCGAAATGTACAGATAAGCACCGATTGTCAATCGATTTGGGATTCGCTTTGACGGCTCGAAATGCAAAGTCCTTCTCCAAGATTGGTAGGTACCCACCACTCGCTGACCTTTGGTGGAGATCAGCTGGAAGTCGTTCGGAAATTCAAATACATGGGCAGCTATAATAACGCCGTGGGATCGAAGATGAGGTCACGAATCGTATAACTAAAGATGGAGGTGCTTTTGTCAGTTTCTGCCCCCTGTGGCGCCGACGCGACATCAATCACCCCGAAGCGCAGAGCTTACTATGCAGCCGTCCGTTCAACCCTCCAAAAATTGTGAAACCTGGCCCATTAGGTCGACAGACATTTTCTGCCGTCGCTGCCTTCACAGTTTAGCTCATGCAGATGGGAACACCGCACGAGCAATAAATGTGTTCGGAGTCGTGTGTTTGATGCAGGAAGGGTGAGTGAACCGATCAGCATAAGCACCGACGGCCGGGCCACGCGTTGCGCATCCCAGCACATTGACTCCCGCGTCGAGCGTTGTTTCCACGCAGGGGCTATGGATGGAAGAGAAGGAGAGGAGGTTTAGCGTTGACTTGGTGGAGAGGAATTAAAACGGAGGGTTTCGGTGTGGCTCTCTCCTATCCCTGCACTCCACGACCGACGGTTTCGTCTTGGTTTAGACTCATCAGGTAGAGATAGCTGAGCTAGGAGTGGAACCCGAGGCACAGTGCTTGGCGGCTATCGCCATGATCACTAGGCCAATGTGTTCCGCGAGCAGTGTTTGACACAGCGGTTAGAAGTAGATTTTCGAGTCTAAACCAAGACGAAACCGTCGGTCGTGGAGTGCAGGGATAGGAGAGAGCCACACCGAAACCCTCCACTTCGGTGACGGTCCGAGTGACCGTTTTGGCAGAGGCTGACTTCCAAGTCAACCGCCGCCATTAATGAGATTGCGTGTCGCAATCCAAGACACACGGCGGGCGCTCCAAAAAACCCGAAAAAAAGGAATTAAAACGCTTATTTCGAAGTTGGCATTGGTTGGCGCATCCAGACTGGAGTCCAAAGAACGATGAAAACGTTTGGTTGGATATGCTTGCTATTATGGCGAACAGCCGGCCCCAATGGCGTTTGTGCTGTGAGCTTCTTTGTTCATCCGTCTCCGCTTTAGATTCCCCCCCACCCCAATTACGATCACATTCCAAATGCACAGTGTAATATTAAATACAATATTACCTGCTTATTGAACAATTTGATAGTCTGTAATTTTTAGTAGCTTTTTTGTATTGCGGCGTATTAAATGAGGTGCGTTTCTAACCCTCAGTTAACATGTACTGATGATGATAGAGAAACAAGGGAATTGCGAGATGAATGAAATAATGTGTGAGGCGTGGTAAGTGAGCCATTCCGATCGCTTGGATAGACATCGGCAGAGGCCCAGTCAATCGTGATTGCTGTACAAGAGTCAGCAGGACTTCTATCCAAGCCGAGACCAGCGCTGCAGGCATTACAAAGGCCCCAATCCGCGGCTGGAATCACAGTTAGGAGCGGATTGCGGGTGGATGGGTTTCTACTCGCAAGGAACTGTCTCAGAACAACAGGAACGTCGGAAGATTCCGTGGAGGGCGTGCAAATGCAATCTGACGTGTGGCCAACCGAAAGAGGATGCGGTGTGGAAGATCCCTTTGTCGTTGATGGTAAGGCACTGGCTCTTCTGCGTGAAACCCTCTGGACGTCCATATTGTTTGACCGCGGTGGTTTGGTACACTTAAGACACTACAAGCTTCTCCTGATTGTCGCCTGGGCGTTCTCCTTGGAAAGTGCCGGTGAATATAGAGCAATATATTCTTCAGTGTTCTCTCCCCGACTCCAGCTAGTCGACTAATCGCATCAATTCGGCATCTTTTTCCTTCGACCAGAAGATGCCGCGTATCGCTCCTCGATGTCATGAAGGCGCGGAACCCTTCGAAGTGTGTCCGTCGCCGGTATATTGTCAGCGCTCTCTCTCAAGTGGAAGAACTGCAGCAGAGAACGAGTATAAGGTGATGGCTTGTCCGCACGACGGTGGTCTAGGAGATGTCTTGTGCGTTTTCCCATGTGGCGAACAAATTCATTCGTAGAGGCATAAAAAGCACAGCAGAGTATGCATGTGTGCAAAGTGGATGTTGTGGCGGTATTATTTTGTGCTGAGATAGGGGGTGGGTGGGTGGAGAAAGTTCGGTGTAAAAAGCCATGTTAAATGTCGTTGACGGAGAGTCACGAGTGACCATAGAGCTCAGGGAGGGTCAATGTAAATAAAGCGTAACTAATATAAGGTGAGAGCAAATAAGCATTCCCTGGTGAAAGTCGCATAATATCCTAGAAAAGACTATAAAATTTGTCCAACACACAGGACAACAGTAGTAGTGGGATGCAGAAAAACATAAGAAAAAATTAAGGCGAACAATGAGCAAGAGCATCGAAACCATATCAACAAAAATACTAGGTATAAAAAAGCAAAAGACTGGAGAAAGCAGATAAATTTGGTAAAGGAGGAGTTTCCACAAGGTGTTGTTACGAAGAGATCAATGATATTTTGTTAAATAGTTATGGGTCGGAATATTGCAATATTAACGCGGTGGAACAAAGAAGCAGGATGTTGACAAGAGAAACGGGCGAAATTAGTTGTCAGAGGTCCAAAAAATAAGTTAGCAACAAGCCATACATTTATCAATGAATCAGCAAAACTGGAAGATGCTAACTGATCACACGAAAAATCGTCGAATTCAGGGCAAAGCAGCTAAAAATGAGGAAAGTATGATGAATACGCCGTAACTTATAAATCATTGCACCAATCAGTAACAATCAATGGCTAATCGATGCAACACCGAAAGCTCTGCCAACTGATGTTTAAGTGGCTGTATTAATATAAAGATGAATAAAGCTAAAAACGCGAAGAACATGGTAATAAATTTGCACCCACTGCCCAACCAAGCACACGGACGCCGCGGATTTCTGAACTGCAGTGTTGGATTCCACTTTTGTTTCCGGATTACTGTATAACACGTGTTCTTTCTGTGTGAATTTTGCACCAATATTTTTCCTTTGGTGTATTTTACAGTCTGCAAATTTGGTGAATATTTCCCACATTCGGAGATCTCATCGATTGGCCAAACTGCTGTCGGTGTCCGCCATCTTGGATTTCTTCTACAGTAATCTAACCTGCGTGGAGCAGCCACGTGACCTCAGGCGGAACTGGCATCATAGACCCATCTCGACAACTGCAAATGTCTGGATTGATTTGAACTAATATCAGCCGGAACCAACTCCTACTGAACCGATAGCGCAAAACTAAAAACCGGTTGGTTTGTAGCGCATTCACTTATTTTTGCATTGACATTTTCCCGTAGCTCATGCTCTTAAGACCTTGATCGAGCCGTTTACTTCCATCAACTTTCCCAAGCCACTCCATCTAGCCTTCTCATCAGTTTAGTTCACCCTATTATGGCACCCACAACGCCTAGCCTCACTCGACAAGCTAAGTGTTACTTACACCGCGCGAACAAAGCTAACGAAAACTGAGGCCCCGACCAAACTGCGAGTCAGTCCTGATCCCATTGCTGCTCCTCTTTCAAAACAGTGAAAATGTCAGCACTTTGGAATCTCAACTCACAGAGAAAAATAGTAACCATAGTCGAACTAATCCGAAATCACCTGGCTTCATTAGACTATCTCAGTAACCTATGGGAAAGGCAGGACAATTAATCGTCTAAATTGAGTTTGAGGCACATTAACGAATGCATAGACTGAAAAATGTGGTCGTTTTTAACATTCCTTGTAGACTTAGTTTGGGTAAAGTTAAAACTGCAGTACTTAAGGCCTGCAACATGTCCGAGATTGAATGCAACTGTTTTCGTCTGAAAAAGAAATCACCTAAACACTGCTGCCCGATCGTTTTTAAATTTACAACAGAGGAATCCGGGAACTGAGTTGAGTAATCAGCTCACTATAGCCTAGCGGACCCAATTCAAAGACCTATAGATTAAACCAGATCGCAAGTCACTACAAAGAACCCTTCGTGATTTTTCGTCAAAAGCTTTAGCTCAAACGGCTATGTGGGTTAAATATTATCAGACCAAAGCTCAAGAAGATAATTTATCTAATGTGGAAACTGGGCACTTCGAGATGGATCTCGACAGCTCACCTCATATGAGAAGGACCTCGGTGACCACTATTCTTGATGACACTGCAATGTCACCTAAGCAAACTACTACTACTACTACTGCTACTTGACGCCCATGAACCAACTGAATTGAATTCACCGTTCATAAATGATGGAGTAACTTCGAACCACTGGGAAGAGCTGACTATCAAGGGCCCTGTAGCTGTGTCGCAAGTTGAACACAACGCCAAAAGGACCCCCATGGGCAGCCAATCCAATAATGTAGAGAGGCCACAGCTACTCACCGGATCTGACAAAAGATTTAAGCCTGTGATGAACACGGTAGGAACTAACAAGATCTACCAACATACGTCACACAAACACTATATAAAGCGACATCCGGAGCCGACAAAAACAAGAAATAAATGTCTTTTGGATACCCCTAGCCATAATTCCCTTCCATACCACGAAAACCAGCCCAGTAACGTTAGAATAAACTATGTCACGAAGCCAAGACCACCTCCCACTCCATCTCACATGTGTGCAGCCCTTTCCAACACCCCTCAGTATGACCCTCTTATAGTACAGGAAGAAATGGAACCGCGGCTATTCCCACTGCTTGCATACCCGGCAGAAGCCAACTACCTGTTCCCACTGTTCCGGCAATTTTTGCAGATGACTCGGCTAGCCAACTGTCACGCCAAGCGCAAATTAGACTTGCTCCCCTCAACCACTTAAATGTCCACAGCAATATCGGCAATCATAAATGACATATTATCCATATTACCACGCCTGTTAAGAGTACACCCGGCCCCAGTACTCCCACTCAAATCTCCTGAGTCCATAATACCTGACTACAACAATGCGTAGAACAACGAACCGCAACACGAGGACCCCAAACTCAAACGTCCCTTTTCTATACTTCTAGTTAATGGCAGATCTATTACAACAAATTGTACTTCCTACGCATGCTTGCGCATATCAACGACCCACAAGCAATCCTCCTTACTGAAATTGGTGCTCCCCCGATACATTGGACTCCACCTTAATGATTCCTAAATATCAGCTCTTCCGAAAAGATCGCGGCACAGACAAAGGAGGCGGATGCATGATATACCTACACTGTACATTTGCAGCAGAACTTCTTGATCATCCACGGCTAACAAATGTTCCCGAATCTCTTCGGTTGTCCGTCTCAGAAACCAGTTCTCAAATTTTACTCGGATGTGTTTACAACCCGCCAAGTGCGAGTGTTACCATCCTCACTCTAACTTTCGAGTATGCTACTGAGATGCCACACAGAGCGAAGATAATTGCTGGTGATTTTAACCTACCAAAGACTAACTGATCCTCTCAACCATCCTCGTCTACATATACAGCTTTCCTTTTCTCTCTCAGTATTGGTGGCTGGATACAGTGGGTTACTGAGCCAACAAGAGTGACCAGTATACTCGACTACATATTCACTTTAGGGGTCTCAAGCGCACAGAGGTATTAAACGAACTCTGGTAGTGACCACAAGATGGTACATTAACTTTCTGCGTCAAATTGGCCATCAAACACGCTTTTATTCCGCAATATGCATCCCACAGGATAAGCTGGAAGCAATTCCAACAATTTATCCGATCAGCAGATTGGGACCCATTCTTTCTCTGTAACCATGTGTGCAATGCCGTAGACTATTTCTACCATCGGGTCCAACAGGCCGTTGCTGTCCTTACTCCCCAATACGAGGGGATCACACGTGTCCAAAAAGACGCAATCGTGAGTTCAGACGGCCGGAAACACAGAAGACTAATTGCCCGATACAGAAAGACGGGAAAGTTCACCTTGCTCTTACAGTTACACAGCATCATTGACAGGATCAAACACACAGTTGACGAAGAGGACACACGGAGAACAAATGGCTCTCCGAACGACATGTAAAATGAAAGAACTTGTTAAAATTCTGCGCCGCAGAACTAATTACCACTCCCTCTTGATCGATGGACTAGTCAATGCAGACAGACAGTCCCTTCATGATCAAGCCGACATCCGCGAAGCGTTTAGCTCATCTTTCGCTACCTCCATGAGTCTGGAGACGACGCCGTTAAATGCGAGTATTGGAGTGCAAACAACCAACCAACAACCAACCCACCACAAGGGTGACTCTAAACAAGAAATTAACAATTACCGACCAATCCATCACACCCATGTAATAACCAGAATATTAGAGAAACTGGTTAAGAATGGTGTGATGAAATTCATCAATTCGTTGGAGCTAATAGACAGGTCACAGCATGGTTTCCTGGACAAACGATTGTGCATAATCTGCCAATAACATTATCTAAACCATGTTTCGGATTCTATTGACTCAGGATGCGCAATCATACTTCTGTTCCTGGAAATGGAAAAGATATCTGATTGAGTGCCCCATAAACGGCAGGTGAAAAAGATTGCTTCCTTTGGAATTCAGGACCCACTCCTAGGCTGGCTATTGTCATACCTGAGCGGCCGTTCTCAGGTAGTTATCATAGCCGACCACCACTCTTCACCAAGACAAATCACTAGTGGTGTCATTCAAGGGAGTAGACTTGGACCGTTACCGTCCTTGTTCTACGTCAATGACATCAGTGCGGTTATCAGTCATGGCATGCCTTTCCTATTCGCTGATGACATAAAGATAGTCTACAAATTCCGACGCGCTGAACTTCGAGATACACTACTGCTCATACATGAATAGCTCCACTCCCTTGAGGAATGGTGTGACACCTAGGTGATGAAGTTCTCGGCGAAAAATTTATCATCACGTATCGCGGCTGTTCGTTACCCGAGGGATCAATTACACTCAACGGGGAACACCTTTGTGCACAGCTATCTACCCGCGACATCGGAATCAGGTATGCTTGCACCTACAACTTTTCCGAACAAGTGGAATACAGGCTGGCTAAGGCCAGAAAATCAATAGCTAATATATTCCATAAGATCCACATAACCCCAGCCAGAGTAGAACTCTTCAAAATCCTCACTCACCCTATTTTAGAATACTGCAGTGTCATTTGTGGCAGCATAAGGAAATCTGACAATCTCTGGAAAGCATACAAAGGTCATTTACCAAATGTCTGTTGGCAAAACATCCACTAAGAACTATCGGGAGCGCAGCCAACTATTCCAGCTCGATCCGCTTTGGTGATAAAGATTGAGACATAACCTGATGTTTCTGTACAATATGTTCATCAAAACGACCACTGCTATTTGCCCTCCCTAGAACTACAACATAGTTCGAGCTACGAAATAAGGAGTTTACCTTAAGTGTACCCACGTGCAGGGTAAATCTGCGGTATAACTTTTTCCTTATCAGATATGCTGTCCTGTGGAATAAGCTCCCAGTCACAATCAGATGGTGTGAGAACGCAACGGCCTTTCGCGTTAAGCTCAGCAAGTACCTGTCCACTTGGGAGAGATCGCATGACGATTTGTACCAAGAAGGGTCAGACAACATCTAATGAGTAAAATAAAAATTTTCATACTGTGAGACACACTCCTAGTGCTTTTACCATCCACTATTTCAACTAGTGCGCATTGCATTGAAACACACCTGTGAGTTAGTACAAACCGTTGAAACAGCAAAAGCCATGTAAATCACAAAAATGTTTACCATTCGTGCATGAGCATGACATATTCTGTAAAATATGATTTGTGCAAAATATGGCACAGTTTCTCACTTGACGAGAATTATAGCTACTACTATTATTATTAACACTATTAAAAAAGCTAAAAAACTGAACACGAATGGAAAAAAACAGTGAAAGAAACACTTCTCTTGCTCTACGGAAGAGCGCTCTAAGCAAACTTACCGTTAGTAGTAAAAGAGTATTTCACTCTTGGCTACATCGATATAAAATCTTCCAAAAACCGCGGTTGGGCTTCTGAGATGTCTGCTATGCACTGACTGGCTGATCCCTACCCAGACGACAATCACATGTTCCTTTGTGGCACAGGCGGATGTCAGGATACTTGGGGTTAGTCGGGCCTCATTCCTGGGGTAGCCTTGAGGTAAGATTCGTGCGTCATTTCGCTGTATCTGCACGTCAAGGATACGGATTAGAAGTGCCAGGTAGGCAGAAGCACGCGAGTTATCAATCGCGCAAACGGAGTTTGGGCGACAGTGGTAGACAGCATGCTATGTGGGCGATATTTGGACGGAGAGAGCAGTGGTGGCAGATGGAATGTATTCGTCTACAGTTGCCTTAGACAGTTAGATAGGAGCCCATAAATTGAGCTTACAGAAGTGGCCAGAATTCGTGATGTAGGATGCAAGTCCAATGAACATGACGCGCACGTCTTCCGAGAGAAAAGGCAAAAAATTGAAAACAAAAGGTAGATCACCCGTGGTGAGTAGCTTCCAGAGATATTAACGTTGGAAGTAGCCAGTAGAGTCTGATTGAATGAATGTATGCGAGCGGGACTGCGATAAAAATTAGAGACACAGTAGATGAAAATGCCGAGACAGTAAAATGTCCTGACCAAATGGCAGAGATTGCGTGCCGCAATCCATTTACATAACGAGCGCTTCACAATGACCCGTCAAAGCTAGGTAACATTTAGTTGAGTTATAATAGACTATGCGACTCGTGAATGTGACTTTCCAATATTCGCACAGGTTCATGCGTACAGGCACACAAAGTACACGAAGGCAGATGGAGAGTGAGGGAAACTTAGTCACCGTCTTTTGTCAAGGTGATCGGGGCAGCCAATTAAGAGAAGGGTTTTCAGTGGCACACGTTGCTTACATAACTCGGTTGCATTAGCATGACTACAATGTGGTCAGAACATCGTCCAGCCGCCTTACTCCCCACTTCTTGTTTATAAATTGCTGATTTTCTGCTATGAACCAGGTCAAGTTACAATAAGTTTTATGAACCGCAATGGGTTCATTGTCAGCACATACACTACCACTGCGGACGCATGGATGATGATATCCATATACATGCTTGGGGAGAAAAATGCACAACAGTTACGCCAACAACCGCTCACGCAGCATGTTAGTGACGTTTGCTGTGTCAACAAGCAAACGTGAGAGATAAGGCAAAACGGTGTTACGATATGATGAGGTGCGGAAGAATGAAATTCCGAATTTTGAACGAGTAGAAGAAAAAGCGTGTATTGGAAAGATCATTGTGAAGTGGATGAAATCGATCAGTTAGTACCTTAGAAGAAAAAGTATTGAGGCCATCAAGATGTCTAGAAATCATCAAAACAACTAATATCTAGACAATCCACTGCATCTAGAAATGTGCTTTATAGATCGCACAAATAAGATGTAGTCTTTCTGAAGCAGTCCAGAGAAAATGACAGGAGCAGTATAGTCAATGGGGAATAGTACAAGAGGTCACAAACTTGCATATAAAAGTGCGAGATTCTGAAATCACCTTAAGTCAGAGGGCATACAAAGAAAGTTTTCTGGCTTCTTGAAAAGTTTTAGACATGCGTGAACCAATAACGGTTCTGGGACAAGAACACGCCGAAATACTTGAAGGTGGAAGAGCTGGGTTTGGGATTTTCATTCACAGTCCCTGTGGGAGAGAAATCTATGAAGCACTGCAACTTATCGCCATGTAGAAAAGAAAATAATACATCCCTGTATTTAGAAGTGTTAAGCGTAAGAGATCTGGATGATGACCACTCCACCAGACCTTCCAACCCAGGTTGAAGTGATGAGGAATCCTGGTTAGTTGGGGACATACATCCCAGCAAAACATCATCAGCCTATTTCACCCTATAAACGTGGTTTATATAGGGAGATGTTCAACATACAAGGAAAATAGAAAAAAGTGATAGGATCGTTCCCTGCAGAACACTGCAGTCGGCAGGGAGGACAGAGGATTACTTACCGTTCAACTTGGTGAAGTGAGTACGATATGTAAAATAAACACGTAACAGATTACACACACCCCAGTGTACTATATTCTCGGATACCAGGTTGAGCAACATTGACCTATCCAGGCGTCCAAAAGAATTCGAATAATTCGGGAAGAGAAGCCGAACGGATTTACTTTTTTGATCGAATGCAAAGGTTATAGAATGCACAAGACTTGCCACTGCATCCAATGTGGAGCGCTGGGGTCCATATGCAAACTGGTAGACATCGTCCTCAGGAGCGGCAGAAAAAGTTCGCGGAAGTAACAGTCTCTCGAAAACTTTTAGAAGCACAGAGGTACACGCAACCAGGCGATACTTTTGAGATCCACTTTTTGTATTAGAGTTAGACTGGCTGTTCACCAGGTGTCCGCGATCACACCCATGGTGAGGCATTTGTTAAAGAGATCTGCTAAAGGCAGTGTGAGAGAATCAGCACACTCCTTCAAAGCTAATGGCTAGAGAGCATCCGGACCACAAGCATTGTTTGTTTGATCTTTCAAAATCCTTGTGAACTTTGCTTTAATCAAAGGGCGCAGCTAGACTTAAATTAATGAAGGACGGCAAGCAAGATGCGCTCAATGAGACAGTGTTCAATTTGGCTTGTTAAATGTACAATTTGTTGTCAAAACGTCTAAGGTGAAAATACTATACATATATATTTATATATGGATGGATGGATGGCGATATCTGTTTCCCAATACGTCTGCCACGGTGAGGGTGAATAGCCATAAGACGCCAACATAAGGACAATAGATGACTTGTGCTGCACCATTCGCAGCTTGATTAAAACCAGCTTTATCCAGTGTAAACCAGAAGGAATAAACCGGGTAACTGAGCGAGTGGGATCTACCGTCGTTTCGGAACCGTCTCAATGTAAACGTCAATAATGCTGTGAAGTACTAGATTTATCCCGCTTCCTAGTCGAAGCGAAGCGCTTGGATATTGTAACTGTGTTCTATGCGGAGAAATAGTTGACCAAATTCCAATCCATAAGCCATGTGACAAGTATACATTTAACGCTCTACCTCGCTGTACGACACTGCATGATTAGACGTGACCCCAAGACAAAAAAAACACATCTTCAGTGGCAGCGCATATTCAGGCTTAGACAAGGGTAACAAACGAACACCTTGGTATCTTTGGCCACGTTATCGTTGGTGCAACCGCCATCTGAAAACTAAGCACAGGTGATTGTCAGGTCTACGTAATTGCTACCAAAAATGGTATCACTCAGGTTGTCAAGCAGGCGACAGCCTAGCAACAGTGCCTCTGAGGAAAAATGGAGAAAATTGGCACCTAATAACGGGGACATTGATCACACCGCAAGAGGTCGAAAAAATGTATACTGCGCAAAGATTTGTGGAACAATGAGGGCTCAGCGAAACCTACAGCTCTGCAACATAGGCACCATTCAAATGAAACCAGGGGAACATTGGTACCAGACGTCACCATCAACAGCAGTACATCAGCCACTTGAACTGAGCTCCGCTGTCATACAACCATAATGGCCTACGGAACGAAGAATAATAAGAGGGTGAGAAGGGGGCTTACCGTAAAACTTTACTGACCCAAACAAACATTCAGAGTCAAGGCGCCTGCACCTTGTGTCAACAACAACCGTCACAAACATCTGGCTATCGTGCAAACACAAGGCGCACCTAACGTGCATAGGGTATTTGTCTGAACGAATTCTGTTCCACACTGGATGGAACCACCTTCTGAGCCCAGCGCTTTCACGAAGACAGTGCACGCGGTCTACCTCAGCAACGACTAATTGTCTTCTGGAGCCATTACTCGAGGTGGCGGTTTTCGATGGGTAGGCACTTGAGCAACACTAGCAATAAGCGCAGCCCGACCGAGGAGCAAAGACAGTCAAACACAGCACAGATAGGCACATGCATGGCACGGCAGCAGAGACGATGTAGCATAGGTGCCACAGCTGTCTCATTCTTGAGTTGCGCTAATAAATGGAACCGGAAACAACGTAAATACGAAGCGCTGACACTAAGCAATTCAACTAAACCGCCTTCTCCTCGATAAACGCTCTTCATGAACAAGTGACGTACGAGACCGGATAAAGTGAGGTACACACGACAGCATGTGTCACAGCGCCATGTTTCTGACCGATGTGCTAGAATTCATCGGCAACTAACACCTGCGTAACTGGTGTTTTTCTTCGTAGTGCGGCAGTCCTTTCTCGAGAAAATGGGCAACGACATTCTAGATAGGAGAGCGCTACTCACAGTGATCCATCGTAATACATACGCAGCAGCTGAAGTGCACAACAGCTAGTGATCACCCCCCCCCCCTTGATCATGCTCTACATCACCTATACTTCGCTTATCCGTACTCATATGGCCACATTGTGTTTTGCTCCTCCAATCGCATTCATAGTACGCAGTCGCGGTAGTGGCATACAATCCAGCTCCGTCGGAGCACTTATGGGTCAGATACTCTGTCACAACAAAGGATGCGCAGAACTCGACGCACGCAATGTTGGTGAAATCGCTCAGGGTAACGAATATCCGTCCGGTATAACAACCAGGTTTCGCTACCGTAGACTAGGAGTACCATTGATTTGTACGCAATTAACTTATTGTTCCAACTGAACAGCTCGCTTGCCATCTGCATGTTTATTGATGGTGTGCTATCGAGGAGGGAAACGTTTGGTGAGGGCTTCAAAACTTCATCGGTCATTTTTGCGACAATTCACGGAATTCATTACTGGTGATGGCTGAAAAATATATACAATCTTACTTGTGTCCACGGTGAGTCGGAACTTGGCCGACGTCAAAGTGAGAGCCGTAGTCATAGACTGCAACCCATACTCGTTGTGTGCAAATAATGCGCAGCTGTTGGCAAAAGCAACATCCGGATGTTGGTCCCGTGCACAAGGGGTTTTCATCCCGAAACGACGGATGTACAGTAAATGATCCCGTAAATACGAGACGGGACATAAAATTGGTGCGACGGTTTGCGTACCTATTCGTCGCATTGAGATATACTGAATTGGCCCATCGGCCCTTAGAGAGCTATTCCAACCACAGTAGCCAATAGTTAGAGGTTACCATTAAGTTGTCTAAAAGCCACGTTGTAAAGTATAGATAATATCTAAAAAAAACCTGTGTAGCTTAGGGAAGCCTGTGCCTAGCATATGAACGGTGGGATCTAGATTATGGAGCACAACACCACGACCAAGTCATGACTACTAGTGGGATAAATGAACTAATCACAGAAACTGGTCGCGTTTGTATACTGAATGCTGTACAGTGCGAGCAAGAAGAGACTTGAACCTGTACACCACCATTGAAATATGATCCAAAACGCTTAAAAATTTATATGTGAACAGTCAACATACCGATGGTTTTTCACGTTGTCACATGATATCGTAAAAAAGAAAGTAGAACACAGTAAATTGAGACATGCAAATGTGAGATGTCAGTGGGTAATCGTTCTCCGAATCTAACGTTTGATAAATGTACACTGAACAATGTTTGGAACAGCAGCACCGAGGTTGTTCCACGATATGTTCCGGCGAGCTGTTCCAAATACTGACCATCGATCGTTCAAAACACAGGGGATGGGGAACTCGCTTCAGAACTGGAACCACAAGCTTGTACCGGTGTCCGCGTGTATCACAAAGTATTTACAAGTGCAGCAGTGGAATCAGCATTGGGTAGTCACCTAGATGAAGAATGCGGTAGTTCAACTTGAAAGCGCCTCGCACTTGACGATAGGCCAGGGTGTACAGTCCAGCCTCTCGTACCTGTGCCTCCCAAGCTGAAGATGAGCTTGGCAGCGACGTGTTAGACCCATTCGATTTTCTGCGTTTCACCTTCAGTGGTTGAGCAATAGGCGAGTGAACTGTACTCTAGCATTGGTCTGATAATGAAAGAGATGAGACGAGTGCCCATCACTTCAGATTAGAGGCAGAAGCTGTATTTGAGTGCCCAAGGCATGTGCAGCCCGTTTCGGTGTAGATTGTTCGCGCTGTATACGGACTTCAAATCGCAACGTGAGAGCACGCCTAGGTCTTTCCAAAATGGTGTGGGATGTAGCAGCTGGTCATCAAGAGTGTAGGTTCGGTCATCACAACCATTCCCCAGGCTCATGAATACCGAGTTGGATGAGTTGACTAAGAGGCAGACTTCTGCAGATCACGTAGGAAGGCGACTGAATTCTGGGTGGCGTAGACCACAATCGTCGGAAGTGCTTATCACTCTCCAATTCTTAAGGTCGTTTACAGACAAGGCACACGGTAACCGAGGATGATGAGGTAGATGGTTGATATAAATCGAAAATAACGTAGGCCCCACCACCGTGCCTTGGGGTACGCCGTTGGTCGATTGATACCAGTCAGTTAGGTGGCTATCGGTCTGTACCCTTTACTTTCGTACAGTGAGAAACTCGCGGATCCACTGGTGCAGTGAACCACCAACATCATGGTTTACCTTGTCGGACCCTTTGTGAAATCACGTAGATCACCTCGACAGACTTCCTCTGATTCACTGCTTGTGACCACACATCACTAGTCACGAGCAGATTGGTAATGATCGAACGACCTAGCATGAAGTAGTGATGGGCGGGCTTCGGGAGATCTTTTGACTAGAGCAGCTGTAACAAACTCTTCTTCGCATTCGTCTTGGCAATCCTGGCCAAAATAGGTGTCAAACAAGTTGTCCTGTAGTTGTCTATTTTGCTGGAACCACTGCTCTTCGGAATCGGCCTTATCATCGAGCATTTTCAATCAATCGGTAATGTATCGTCCGACACAGACCTGTTGAACAGATCAGGTGAAATGATGGCCGATAAGGATTTGGGAATCAGTGGGTGGATTCCAAAAGGCCCAGTAGGCTTAGTGCCGTCAAGGCTAGCGAATAATTGACGCACCTCTTCTACGCCACAATCCAGTCTATCGAGTTCGGTTAGGGCTTCGCACGTCGATCCCAGTACAGACAACTGGTCATTTGCAAACGCGGAAGCAAAGTGCCCCGCCACAGTGGACCCACGCTAAGTGCTGGAGGTTAAGGGCTGTCCGTCCGCGCCCTCCATCACTTGGTAAGTCCCTTGCGAGCTTCAGGAGTCGCCTCGAGTAGCAAAGATGCTCTTCAGAGAGATCCTTACGATTGTTGCAAGTTGGTCTTTCAACTGCCGGCGCTTGCTAGTTTTCGTAGTCGTCGACTGGGACCGATATATGTACTTTGTCCTGCAGCGTGTTGCCGTCGAACCAGATTACCATATTCTTATCGAACAAATATGCATTGACCGGTCTGATTTTTTGGAACTTGAGAGGCACAAACCGGTTATACGTTTACTCCATTATCTGTAAATTAACGCACGCGAGATATTGCTTATGGTTGGTGGGAACGACGAATGAGTAATACAGTAGTTTATCTGTTGACTAGCTCGCCGGGCTTGATTAAATGGTTACATGCGTTTCGCCACCCATAGTGCGAATGGTATGAGAGAATTTAATCAAGCTCGGCGAGCCAATCAACAGATGAACAACCAACCTGGGCTACCAGTGTTTCAAATCATTTCGGATACAGAAGTTAGTCATTTGGGACAGATCGCTTCGAATCGTCAGTTGAAATCAAAGTGTCGCATGTCTGCATCTTTAGGTATTGTAACTGACTAAGGAGCGCAACGGATCAAAACCCAGAGATGGGTAGTTAGTGAAATTGCGGAGAAAGAGAGACTGACAGGTAGGCAAACAAAAATTGGTACATGTCAACCATATCAATGATTGGAAACGTTGTGGAAAATGACGCAGTCACGAGTTCGGTGGTACTCTTGTTTTCGCTACCTTGCATTTGATTCTTCATTAGATCATCTGATGACAGAAATCAAGATAACTGCCTCCACTGCATCACATTAAATGAACCAAACTTGAATTGTGGACTATCTCTAACCTAATTTTGGAGACAATGGGAGAGTAGGAAACAATCAGTGATGCATACACGTTAAAAAAGCATTAATGAGTGAATGTGTTATAAGGAACAGGACAATTAGATCAATGATAGGAAAGTTATCTTCTCAACGGCCCTCTAGCTTGGGCTTCATGGCTGGTTGAAGACTTAATCGAATGCTTTCGGATAAGTTTGGTCTGGTACGCGCAGTGGACACATCGTTGCAAACGGATGTGTTATTAGTGTGCCGGCAGCCGGAACACCATGGGGTAGTGCACGATACTAAGCCGGAGAATAAGTGACGTCGGCAACGAGTTGCAGAGGACCACGCGACGACGGGTTCATCACAACTTTGCCCACAGGTTCCACCACAGCGACGAAGAAGGAACTAATGGAGGAAACAGGAGAAGTTAACACATGATAAGGACAAAAGATGCAGTATTTACACATAAAAGAAAGGTAAGATTAGTAGAAAATAAAGGTTGTGATGGTAAACATTCTGAGTAGAGGCAGTCCGCAAGAATATTAAGAGCAACAAATTAGTTCAGCTAGGATCGGTGATCCCAGCACTTGAAGGTAGGAGGACTAAGTTGTCAGAACCTGGTTGCCGCAGAGAATGGATCCTATCACCACAGTTGTTTGGGAAAATGAGTACCTACACTATTCCATCTCGTGCTTTCACCGCATGCCTAGTAGAGCAGGAGGTTTGGATGGGTTCGAAAGTGAGAATCACAATTCACGTCTTCCTTCTCCATTGCTCCATCCTCCTTTACAATCAGATAGCAGTTAATACCTGCTTTTGGAAACACGGGAGTAACGGTGAATTTTACAAGTGAAGTCTGGCTTAGCATCTTCTGCACTGCACCACCTAGAGTTACGGATAAGATGGAAGGAATCTTCTATCCTATTTACAATGCCTTACCTTATAGCTGCGATGATTAATGCATCTTCACTATTCAAAACAACCTATGCATCATATATGCTGTTTCTTCTTTTGTCCTATATCGCGATCATGTATGAAACATGCCAATTTTCGTGATTTAAATCGCGCGTGTTATACCACGTGCGATAGTACCCAGAACCATCGTAGTCCATAATGAAGACAGATTTCGAAGGATCACCTTCTATCGTGCGAGTAATTTTCCTGATCTTACTCTCTAGTGTTAAAATCACCATCATAAATCAAACATAACATGCCATCGTTCACACTATTCGACATTGTTCGCTAAGAACAGCTTCTTTTCACACTGTTAGTCAGTAACGATCCTTCCCAGCTTGGATGCATGTCCAAAAAATTCAACGATCCGAAGCACTAAAGTAGTCGGTGTCAACTTTTGCGGTATTGGAACGGATTACAGATTACTTGACTACGTGAAAACATTTGTAATATCAATTTGGATTTACTTTGCACAATATCGGATAGATTTTGATGGTCAGTGTCCCACCACGTTATGATTAGCAGAGGTTTGAGTATATTCTGCTTGTTAAGATTTCCTAGAATTCGTTGCTGCCGCATTTCCATATAAAGGAAAGTCGGTTGATCATGCCAAATGATTTTAAGTTTTTTTCCTAAACTAATCAAAGTATGTCACAGGAAGTGCGGTCAGAGACGCTTAAGACTCCGTGAGAATATTTGTAGCTCGGGATGCGGATGAGGGTATGCGGATGTTCTCCGAGCTGGCTGATTTGGTTGCAAACGTTTCATCGGCAGACTAGACGACATCATCAGTGCGTTTTATGCGGGCCTCTTGCAGATCCAGACTCATGTTGATGGCGGACCAACATGACTTTCTACTCATGTGACACAATAATCGATGGGAACCTATCAAGTATTTCATTTCTCCTCTACACTATCCTTACTACACTATCCTTACAAGGCGAGACCCATAACCAACGCATGACATTTAAAGCGAATCGTTAGATGTAACTCGATACAGTGGAGCGCTTGACGAGATATGTATCTAAGTAAACAATCCGAAGAACACAATAAATAGCAATGCACCAGGGACACCTTTATATGACTTAGTGCACACACATTTGTGAATGTACATATATCACACGATTGTAAAGTCTGCTAAAGTTTAATCAATGAAAGAAGCAGAATACAGTTAACACTCGTTTACACGCTTGCGTTCCATTCCCTTGTCAGCTGCATGCCATACTTTGCATTTTGGATGCCGGATATACAGTATCCATAGTGATAAATCATCGACACTGTAGATTCTTTTTATATGGGCACATAAAAGAGGCGATGCCAAATAATTCCGTATCTGCATACGTAACTCTACTTATGGTGTCTTTACTTTGTAAACCTAAAACATAAGTAAGCACCAGAATGCAAGCGAGGTAGACAGAATAAAAAACCACTCGAAAAGGCCACAACACTAGTGAGTAAAGTCCTGTATCTGGAGTAAATTTCTGAGCAAAGGAAAATCACTACTGCAGCTACACATACTAACGGCCTTCAGTGAATCCGCGCGCTTTGGGATTCATGAGAACAGGGTAACACCTGTCGTACAATATTTCTAGATTGAAACATTTAACCAAAAATAAGACATATTCCAGGTACTCCAAAGCCAACATTAAACACCTGACGACCGCTAGTCTACCGACTCTCGCGAGGTGCGCTGTTTGCTCGCCTGGTGCGTGGATGGAAGAGGAGGAGAGGCGGCCAAGCGATGACTTGGTCGAGAGGAACGAAGGCCCTCACTTCGAAACTGGCTTTGGTTGGAGCGTCTCGGCACCCTGATTGGGGTCCGAAAGACGATGAACCCGTTTAGCTGAATACACTTGCTGACATGGCTAAGAGCGGAGCTCAATGGCGTTCGTGCTCTGAGTTTCTTTGTCCCACCCCATCCCTCTTAGCCTTCCTCTCCAACCACGATCTCATTTCATCATATAATTTTGCACAGCAAATTTTTTGCTGCATAGCAGCCGGCTTGTAGCTTAACGGAACGATGCCCATCCGTTACCGGTAGCTCAGCTGGCATGCATGTGCAGCAAGTAGTTTTCCTTCTCTTCGTTTTTGTATTGCGGCACAGTAGCTGAGGTGTTTTCCACCTCTAGCTAACGTGTATAATGAATGAATAAATGTCCAAAGTGTTGTTAAGCGATTTCAGTTGACTCGTGAGTAAAATATCAGTTGTTGACCAATTTGAAGCACCGATTACCTATTTAATGAACCTAAACGAGAACGAAACCAGTCGTGGAGTACAATGTTGGGAGCAAAGTACACAAAAATCCGTCAATTCCGGTAAGGTCCGGGTGATAGTGATGACCGAGATCTCGAATAAAGTAAAAGTGATTTAAATGGAGACTGTGTGTCGCAGCCAAAATACACATAGGGTTCTTCAAAGAGGAAAATTAGACATCGGAGCAGATTGCGGGGATAGGGGTTGAGAACAGAGCTGAACGGCTAAAACCACAGAGGTTCAGTACAAAAGAGTGGCGCCCCTTGTTTGAATTGAAAAATGAGGATCGCTGATCATGGAGCATGACTAATCAAAATGTTGCAGTATATATGATCAGTGACATCTGTAGCCTGATTGACCTGCCAAAGCGGCTTCCATGGCACAGCCACAGGACGCCTGGGACTACAGAGGGACAAGGGCGGCCTGCACTGCATCACCCACAGCTCCATCTACACACACCTCATATCCAGTATAAACCCCAAGGAATAAGACCGGGAGACATGTGGATGGGAGCCGCGTGTCATCAACGGAGCCGGCCCACACCCCTACTACATGCGCAGCAGCATTCCTATATGTCTAATCGGGGAATCATGCGTACCAGACGTACACAAGGCGGTGACTGCGCCGTAGCCCGTTCCACACTAGATGCATGGAACCACTGTTTGAGCCTAGCACGGTCACGAGCACCCAGTCTCTCCAAGTAGCGATCATTTGTCTCCTGGACAAAGTATAATGGAGGTTGCGATTATTCGATAAGGATGCACCTTGTCAACATTCACACCAAGTGCAGACAGATCGGAGATATAAATGAACAGTTAACATCTAAAATGTGAAAAAATCAACGCGCAGGCAGACGTACAGATCAAATGCAGCAATAATGTAGCGCGTATCACATCAACCGATTTATTAGTCGGGGTTAGTAAATGGAGTCGCAAATAGCATACATAACAGGTGCTGCGCTAATGTGTAACTAGTTAGATGACGCATCGCATACTCCAGTTCCGTCTTCTTCTCAGCAGTAACTAACTACAGATTCACGGCAGGCGAGCAATACTTAGATTTAGAAAAATAAATGTACAAGTTGGTCCGCACCAAGTTGTGATCAGTGCCACACCACACTTAGTTCCACGCAGTACGTGGCATGCGCATTTCACGCAAGCGTCTGATGACATAGTCGAGTAGGTGGGTGTGATCACTTTGTAGGTGTTCCCAAGTAGCAATATCACTCGCAACTGGTGCAAACCGGGTGCTAGTGATCGTCAACCTAGCAGTGGAACACAATCAGAGCAGCCGATCATCGTTCTTATTGGGTGAGCCAATACGATCCGGCATCATGTCCAGCCCACGTGCTCGCTCATCGGCACAGACAGTATCGCTGAGGAAAAGTGAGCATAAAACGGATCAATTGTGTCAAAAGAATGACACATGATCGGACCATAGGTGACAATAAACGTTGAACATTAGCTCTTTCAATTCGTAGGCGAAGTGTCATCAATCGTGGGCTGATGCCAGTCGAATGTTCAACTTGCTAGGTTGTGTGGGGTAGATGATTGTCCGATTTCTGGTCAACCGCCAGATTATTCAGGTGGTTGAACCGCACGTGGCGGAAGAGCAAGGCGGATTCCGTTCGCGCCGCAGCGCGATATGTGTATTCGTGGCTCGTCAATTGCAGAGAAATGCCGAGAGCCATACCAGCGGTTATACTCGTAGTTTCTTGACTTTACCAAGGCATTTGACGCAGTGAACATTGAGGCGCTGTGGTTGGTGTTGGATAAGTTTGTAAGCCTAATTGAATGTCTGCACGGCAGTATGCGGGCGAAGGTACAGCAATATGGACAAACCTCGGAGGGCTATATTGGTGCCACTGGTGTAAAGCGAAGTTCGCATTTCATACGGATGTGAACACGAAGGGGAAGATAAGCATGTAGGTGAGCGAAGGATGAAAATACGGTTTAGATATTGGCTGGTTTGCCAAACAACTTCGCCGTGGGGCCAGCTGGTCAGCTTGGGAGCTTTCTGCAGTAGTGCTGCAGAACGTGGTGACCTTTCGCCTGGAAAGCATCTTTCCTGTAAAAAGCCACAAGTGTCTGCTTAACAACAGTGAGGCATGGCGAATGTGATTGGACACTAAAGAGGGTAACTGTTTCCTGTCTTCTTCGAAGACATTGTAAATCGGAAATTAACCCAAGCATACGAT